AAAACCCCAAAAACATAGCACGGCTGCCCAAAACTACAATTAAATCGGCCCTGCACAGCTTACTCACGTGGTTTGAGGGCGCCTCCGATAGTCCTACTTCTTTCCAATTTTTCCTACCTCCACTCCAGCTGTTAATGCACGTTTTACTTATTGCCTGCGTTAAATGTGCTTCCCTTTACTCTTACACATTGCTTGCTCTCTTTACTTTACCCGGCAAGTGAATCCGCCTATAAGTCAACTTCCTAATCGGTAATTTCGTTAATTAAAAGGTACTCCAACAAAGGTAAAGAAAAGAAAAACAAACCAAACCAAACGCACACGCGTATCTTGAGAGAAACGAAACAAAACTAGGGCAAAATCACAAGATCGAAGAGAACCTGATGGTTCTTCATCTCAGAACCACAGTAGCTGGCTTCTCGGGGCCAACTGGTCATAAGGCCTTCTTATAACTCTTTTTGTGTTAGGATTCATCGGCCGGTAGTCACAGGGCATAAAGAAACGCAGCGGTGAATCCGTACATGATATGGAAAAAGGTAAAGAAAAAGGGACCAGTCTTCTACATCGTTTTACATAAACGGGACCCCGCTACGACTTTAAAAAAGTCCTCTTGAAAGCGTTACCACAAGGAGAGGAAGCTGATAGGACCTCTCTGGAATACCCATTAACAACAAACCTTGGTCCACAAGATATTGAGCAGGACCAGGAAGTGGAGGCAGGGTACGCTTCAAAAGGGAAAAAAATCGAACAAGGATTGGCAGGAATTATTCACAAGTGAGGCTTCTGACATCCAGTGCATAACAGGAGGAAGGGATCGCAGTTTTTTTCCAACGTGTGACAGGTCACAACTAAGCTGTTTGTTTTCGACCAATTTTTTTAAAGATATACAGAGTAACACGAGAGGAAACCATTGAGTTTTCTTGGCGATCTACCAACATTTTATTTGAAATTTAATACCGTGCAGCCAGTACTTTTTACCATAAGAGGGATTCTCCTTAAAAAAAATATCCACCACACGTTATCCAAAGGCGACATCTCTTTACCACTAACATGGACATGGTCTTAATAACTTAAGAACGCTTTTATTTGCTTTCAAGTGCCTTGAAAAATTGATCATCTCAAATATTCCAGGTTGTGGTCATGGAAATCTAGATCCATTCCATTTTGCAAACAAGAGAGGAACGTAGAAGATGCTGTACTTGTTTTTTGTGAATCTATACTGAAACATTTTGAAACATCTAAAACGTACACGAGGGTACTTTTTGTTGACTTTTCCTCAGTACTTGATAAAATTCAACCGCATATTGTCATTGAAAAACTTCTCAGTCTGAGAGTCAGTCATCATATCGCAGGATGCGTCCTGGAATTTTTGACAGGCAGACCACAATATTATGTAAAGCTGAACAACATACAATCTGACACAATCCTTTGTAACACCGGCGATCCTCAGGGCTGTGTTTTGTCACCAGTTTTGTACACAATATATACCAACGATCATAGAAGTAAATATTAAACAACACGCTCAATTAAGTTTTGCAGATGACTCCGCTATTATTGGAATAATAAACCTTGATGAAAAAGAGTATTTCGAAGAAATAATAATATGTAGATCTATATTTTTTTAATGGTTAAATTCACATTTTCTAAAAGTGAACTCTCAAAAACAAAGAAAATGAGTTTTGATTTTAGAAGGGAAAAACCAACAATCCCACCACTCACGATTAAATAAAAAACAATTGAAATCACGGATTCATACAAATATCTTGGTATTACAGTAGACAACAAATTTACATGGCAAAATCACGTAAACAATATCGTTAAAAAGGAAGATCAGAGGCTGTACTTTCTGGGGAAACTTAGGTCTTTCAATCTGAATCCATCCATCCTTCAGATATTCTACACCGCCACAATAGAAACTTTAATAAATTTTGGTATCTCTTGCTATGGTATTTGGAAAAGACAACACTTCATAAAAATAAACAATTTGATCAGAAAGGCCCCAAAAATATTGGTAGAGACCTAAGTAACTTTGAATATCTGCACACAAAAAAACGCGGAAATAATGCTAAGTGACCATAGCCACTCATTGACATCGGAATTTCAATTATCGACCCGCAGTAAACGATGCATTTCCCAAGAAAGCAAGAATAAACAGATGTAGAAATTCATTGGTACCAACTGCAGTGAGTTTACTGAACACACAGTGCTACAAATGAAACGGAGAGAAAGAGAGAGAGAGAGAGCGAGAGAGAGAGAGAGAGAGAGAGAGAGAGAGAGAGAGAGAGAGAGAGAGAGAATGTTTTACGGAGCGGGTTGTTTCAGCACGTGAGGCATGTTTACTAATGTCCTGTCTTGTTGTGCGCATGTGTGAGTGCACCTAACCTTTGTTGTTTTTGTTTTGTTTTTGTTGTTGTGAAGCGTTTTACGGCGCTCGAAAATGCATAAGGTCATATGAGCGAGCGGGACACACCTAATATTTTCAGTTGGTAGGACATTTTGAATTTTGCCCGGGTGGCGGCCAAAGCCTACTCTTACCGATCTTAGACCACCAAGGGATATTTAACCTGCACAACTTGCACACGGGTCCTCCTAGATTTTTCGCCCTTGTCCGAGAAGGTTAGGTGTAGATCTTTCCTACCAGAAGATCAGGGGTGTGGCAGAAAGACGGCAGTAAGGAGGAGCCAAGGAGTAGCAGTAGAAAGGCTGCAGAAAGAGTCAGGAGCCCAGGGTAGGAGGCAAAGGAGGTGAGGGGGTGGGGGCAGAAAGTGGAAATGAAAGCAGACAACAGAACATTGCTAGAGAGCAGGAAAGGATGTGAAAGGAGACAATTTGAGAGAAGAAAATTTTCCGGTTGCTAACCCGGGACCTTTGAATGAGAGGCCAACACCTCTAGGCCACGAGAGCCCCCCGCACCAAACCTTTGTAATGTCTACTGCCATTGTTAACGGCTAAGACAAATTTCTCCCTGCGAGATGAATAAAGATTGTTATAGTCATAGCCATAGTCATCATCAATAGGTGCTCTCTTTCCACCCCATCGACATAAATTATTAGGCATTCAGGAAGTGGGCTTCGACCCTGCCTGCTAGGTGCAAGCCCGAATTGTTAAAAAAAAAAAAAGTTTTAGTAAAAGTTTTACGGAACTTGCAACACAATAAGGTCATATAAGTGCCGCAGAATAGATTATGTTTTGCAAGAGAGTAACATACACAAAAAAAGAAGGAGAGGAGAGAAGGACGACAGATGTTTGATAGGAAAGAAGGAGCAAACCACACCAGAGCACCCGCCAACCACGCACGGATTGGTAGGGATACAGAGTCCCAGCAGAAAGACCGAGATACTCGATAGAAATTTCCCCACACAGGAATCAAACTAAGGCCTTCTGCACGTGCAGGCGAAGCGCCTTACCGCCTTACCACAGACGCTGGTCAAAACAACAGCAACACCACCAACACCAACAACAATAACAACAACAACAAAAGATACCGATTGTAAGGTCGAGAGGATAATTTAGTTTTGTTTTAGTAGATGTTTTACGGCGCTCGCAACTGCATAAGGTCATATGAGCGCCAAGGGGTGGGTGTCAACAGAGAAGTCCTTACAGGGAATCAGACTTACTCTACTCACCTCTCTAGCTCAACAACACAAAGTCTGTTTCGACTA